AATAAACAACCATATAACCCAAGCATTTTCAAAAGGTGGACCTTTCTTCATCAGTCGTTGTTTATTATTGTCTTTAATTGATTTTAAAAACTATACATTTTCCTAACATCATAGCTGTATGTTATACACTGATGAAGACATGCCTTATAAATATTGTATTTTATTAATCAATTCTGTATCACTGGTAAGGCAATATTAAAATGTCCAGACTGTTGCAGTCACATGAGCAGACCTATACTTATCCAATGTAATAACATAGTAATATTTGTCACTTGGCAGATACTGCTCATACACCTATCACCATTACATATTTTCTGTCACTTCTGAAGTTGTGCTAGTTTTCTTCTTTACAGTTACTACTTTAGTTACATTTGCCAGCACTGGATTGTTTTTTTTTTGTTGCTTCATTACCTCCGGTACTTCATGGTAGCTAGACATGGAGTAGCCCTTTTGTTCCTAATAGAATCATGCCTTATTCTATCTTACAGATGAAACTCAACACTACAGATACTTTTAGAATCACAGAATATGATAACTTTTTCTCGGAAGATCCCTTAATGTAATTCTCCCACAAGGAGGTCAATTTTAGACATAATTTCAAAATCACAACACTTCAACTTATCTACATCTATCCTGTGTAGTTACAGGATGGTTAAGGGTTAGAGAATCAGGACATCTAACCTACGTAGTCACAGGATGGTTAGGGGTTACAGAATCAGGACATCTAACCTGTGTAGTCACAGCATGGTTAGGGGTTACAGAATCAGGACATCTAACCTGTGTACTTACAGGATGATTAGGGGTTGGAGAATCATGACATCTAACCTGTGTAGTTACAGGATGGTTAGGGGTTGGATATCCAGTTTGTTACCATAGTTCATAAACAACCCTCTTTCACTTCACATTGTAGCTCACTGGTTGAGGAGAACAAGAAAACAATCAACAACAAACTCTCACAAAATAATGGTAACTGTACTAACACATATAACACTTAGATGCTGCAATTTATGTGACATCAATTGTCAGCTCACAGATTTGTTACGACTAACCTATAAATGCATTGAAATTATTATATGCACATTAAACATTTGGTGGTATATTTCTAAAAACCTCAGAAACAAATCTTCAATATTAAATAGTTTTCTCATAATGCATGTTTTTGCCAATAATGTTTGTTGATCATTGGTGTAGAATTATATTCACCTCAAAATTATTACAAATGTTTGATGTACATTTAAGTAAAATTTGAGCTATGTCTACTAAAACTACAAGTTATATTGTTGTGTTGATATTATTGAACAAAATTTATTACACAAAAATCTTAGTTCTGTAATATACGTTTGTAACATGCTAGAAAAACAATCTAACAAATTTAAATGTTACTTTCAGAACACTATATGATGTTGTTTGATAAAGTATTATATATTATATATCACTATATGATAAAGTATTAGCAAGAGAATAATTTTTTAAAATTATGTAATTATTATTTTTGTACACCTAAAATGAGCATTTCTCAGGATCTGCTTTTAGAATTATTACAAATGTGATGAGAATAGCACACAAGAAGGCAGTAGATACATAGAAATACCCAACAAATAAGAATTGGTAAAGTACACATTCTTTTTTTTCATGATGATACTGACATAAATCTTCAAGATGTAAGGTCATTTTCCAAAATGCGTGTATTCATAGAAGAAGAATCTGATAATCATATACAATGTAAAATAAACTATAAGCAAATTAAGTAGTATTCAGGTAACAATGCCAGTTAATGCACAGTGTTTCTCAAACTTTTCGATACCAGGGACATCCTCTCTAAGCTGTTGCAGAACACTTTTAAACATACAAGTACAATGAAAATTTACATACAAATGTTAAGTAATTGATGTATTTTAGTGCAGAGTTTCTCAACCAGCACTTGTCCCTTTCAACCACCTTTTTAAATAATTGATGTATTTTAGTGCAGTGTTTCTCAACCAGCACTTGTCCCTTTCAACCACCTTGCAGATTTGACAAAGACAAATAAAAACTGAAAGAAAATTTCTTATTTGTCTTTGTCAAATCTGCAAGGTGGTTGAAAGGGACAAGTGCTGGTTGAGAAACACTGCACTAAAATACATCAATTACTTAAAATTTCTTTTCACTTCCTGCACATAAGACAAAATATTGGTATAAAACAATAATAAAAGACAACCACAAAATGATAAAAGTGACAGTGTGCTTTTACACACACACATATATATATATTAATGTGCATTTCTAATGCATGAATATTATAATAAAAACTGTCAAATCAATGAAAAATTCTTAAATTACGATAACTTCAATAGGTAAAATACAAAACTTTGCACACAACACATTACAAAGCAATGACACAGTTCTTGGGTAGAACACAACTCTTCACACAAAGCAACAACAACAGTCCTAGGGCCAAGGCAGTGTTTGAATATATACATGGATAATGCAAGTTTATAGCCATAAAGGTGTTGCTGTGGAAACTCTAGAGGCTTCAAGTGAATATTTAACATCTTCTACTGATGCAAGTTTCCAAAGGAACGTTCGATTCATTCTAAAAATTCATGTTGTACATAATTTGGAATATCTTATTGTACACCTAAAAATTTGAAAACAGGAAAATCTACAAGAACACGATAATTAAAATTGATCATGTAGCAGATTCAACAGTGATTAGAAGAAAAAAATTAAGACTGTTAATGCAACATTAAATAGTCATTGTACATTTACAAAACATTTAATAGATCTAACATATGAAATGTAGAGATGATAAATTTGACATTAATAGAGAAATCAACAAAAGGAAGTTGCTATTTTCACTAAAATTAATTGTATGACACAAAAAGTGGAAGAAGGAAAAACTTTACATTTAATCTTTAGCTCCTATACTTCAATATCACCTCTTAATCCGTGTGACAAACAATAGCCACTACCCAATCTAAACAGTTTCATCTACATATCTTTATATCACGTTTTAATCAGTGTGACAAATGAAACAGTCACTACCCAATCTAAACAGTTTTATCTATACATCTTTACACACACTATAGAAAAAAATGGGGAGTGGGAGTGAATACATGACCTGACAGTTTTTAAAATTAAAGGAAAAAAAAGCACCATGTTGCACCTCCAGGATAAGCACCATGATAATTTAACAAAAATTATTACAACTTACATCAAAAATACCCTGGATGTTCCATTATGCCATAATACTGTCCATTGTAAATGACTCCAATCTCTCTGACCACTTCTCCTCGAATGGTGGCCTTGATGGTCCAGTTGTGTACTTCAGCACTCTCTTTTTCTCGCTCGAGTTTCTGAACCTCCACTATCTTCGAATTTAAATGGTTTAGGATCACACCAATATCTTTGATGTCAAGATGCTTATTTTGATCTAAGGAAAGCTGATCCGTTAAAAGGAGGTAATGTTCAGATAACTGTTCGTCTTCATTGGTCGCATTTTCAGTGTCCGATTCATACTCATCGCATGCACGGTTCTTTACCTCCTGAGGTTCGTCTTGAAAATGTACGTGTCCTTTAGCTCCTCCTTTCTTATGTGTGATTACTTCACTAGAACCAGCTTCAGTCCCCTCTGGCTTTTCCTGAATGGGTGAGGTAGCAATAGATTTATTTAATATAATATGAGCACTCCTTTCATGAAAGGCAGAGCAATGGAAATCACACAATGAATGATCATGATCGGGAATATTACCATTTTCTCCTTCCTGCTTTTTTGGTAGCATACGCACAGCAGACTTCAATCCCAAACTTTCTAGAGTAAACCTGGCATGAGTCTTACCTGAAGAAGGAAGGTCTTTTAAACTGGCAGTGGCTTGATCGTTAGTCTGAACCTCTTGCGACATGACCTCCACACTCCATACTGGTTCTCTTCTGCGATATTGGGGATCTTTTCTCTCTGCTGTACTCTGGAAGTCCCGCTGATCCCAGTGAAGCACTACAGTGACCTGACCTTTATTGTCCATAATCTTCCAAGATGGTTGTTGGTCCACCAATTCAAGGATGTTTATGGCTTCACACACTATCTGAGGGATGGCCCTGATAGCTAGACATGATAAGAGAGATAGAGACAGCCCTTCAATAAACTATTACTTGCATTTTAATTTGTACAGAGTAATTTATTTTCTGTTGTAAAACACAGCAGTAATGTACTTCATAGATATCATTAGGCACCACAGCCTTTGATATTTACGCCTTAAGAATTTCACAACTGTTACTCCACAGATAATATTCATGCATAAATCAAACCTGCATATTATTTGTTTGTTGTTAAGCACAAAACTGTGCTATGAGCTACCTACATTAAGCCCAACTGCATGGATTGAAAACCATAAATTTTAGCATTTTAAACCCTCAAATTTACCACTCAGTAAATAGTTGGGCTGTAAACTTTATTATATCTATCTATCTATATTAAAAATTATTTACAGAATAAAAAAAAAATCATATGTATGAGTACATACCCCTAAAGACATATACTCAATAAAAGATTGACAAGTCCTCACACACACACACACACCTGAAGACACAATCAATAAAAGATGAACTCCCTCTCTCTTTCACACACACACACACACCCCTGAAGACACAATGAATAAAAGATGAACTCCATCTCTCTCTCACACACACACACACACCCCTGAAGACACAATCAATAAAAGATGAACTCCCTCTCTCACACACACACACTATTACTAATACTACATACATTTATACACACACACACACACATATACATAAACATCAAAAGCTTAAAAGACATCTGGTAAACTTGTTTAGGTTTGTTGACTGCTTGAGTAAATAATGAAGAAAACTTTATTGTTAGGTTTGTTGACTGCTTGAGTAAATAATGAAGAAATAGTAACAAATATACAATGTTTTGACAAAATATTGTCATCAGTTGAAACGTACATTTGTTATTACAATAAACTTGTAATATGTTTCCTTCATTATTCAATCAAGTTGTCTTTAAACTTTATTGTCTCAAAGTGGGTTCATATTTTTTGGTGTATAAGACGCACTTTTTTACCCCAAAATTTGATGTAAAAATCTGCTTGCGTCCTATACACCGAAGGTATGAATAATATATATGTATATATACACAAGCCATGTGTAAATATATTTATATAGGCATGAATAGTTTAGTTCAATTGAATGGGTTATTTATAACAATAGTAATCTTTTTCCTTTAAAAACATAACTATTTAT